TACTGAGTCTATCTTCCAAAAATGAAGAAAAAAATAATTTAAAATATGTTTGAACCAGAATTCGTTCAAAGTGATGAAACACTGGTAGTTGAATTTTCATGTAATGATATGAGTAGAGCTGGCACTTCCATTAAATTGCGCATAGCCTTGCTTCCCCAAAAGGTGTTCTCATTCAGGGTGGACTGCAGTTTCGCCCTCAATAAAAGAACTATGAGCAAGATCTAATGAAATCCTGTGGCCGACTTTTAAGTCAAGATTATTAGAGTAGCGGCAGTCGAAGCATGATAGTGTAGCGTGTAATCTCGGCACGTTTACTACTACGACATGATGTCACGAATTTACTTGGGTCGCAGAGAATATGTTAAGTTCATTGAAGGTCAGGCATTTTCCTATATCACATTCTTTAATGGGTTGTCGAATAAGCAAGGTTATATTTGCTTTAACAACCAATTATATTACTTATTATCGTTTATAAGTAGGGTATTGAGACTGCCATAAATCAGTTATATAAGATCCATTCGAAACATTACTTATGAATGAAAATAAGTAGCCGATTGTTGTAGAAAATATAACTTAGCTACATCGACAATCCCATCAGAGAATGTGATATATGAAAATGTATGGTCCTACTTGGAATTCGCATCTGCCCTCTGACACGAAGGCAGAGGACTCATAGCAATGTTGAGTAATGGTTAGCATGTCGAGATTAAACGCAGCACTGTCATCGTTCGACTCCCGCTGGGAATATTGATAAGAATTATGCGAGGTCTGAACTGTCGTTCATCCTGGATGAAAAGACATTTTGGTAAAGCAAGGATATGTGAAATTCAATGGAAGCGTCAGCTCTACTCACATCATTATAGGAAAATTTAACTAACAGTACTTCATCACCTTAAACTAAATAAGGTGAATATAACTCAAAGATATAAGTGACTGGTAGTCTCGAAAACCTACCTATAAAGAAAAATTAAGACTTAGGATACCTGACTTCACGGCCCGAGCAAACATTGGCTACGAAGAGAGAACGTGTTAGAAGGCTCTTATAGGAGAACAAATTGTAAAAGGTTTTTTTAATCGCAAGTTGAGTAAGAACTTTGTA